AGAACCTGCTCCGCTACCAGTTTGAATCTCGCACAGTTCCTTTTCGCAGCAGCGAATCAGCTCAAGGGCCCTGTTCAGCCGAAACAGCAGCGACGGTGCATCAACTGTACGCAATACACCCTGGCTACAACAGCTGAAATTCACACTTGTTAAGGACTTGGAGAGGAATCGATGAGTATAAGCAAGGAAGTGAAGCAGTGAGAGAATGCTTATCAGGACGAGAATCCTATCTATCCTGTCGTTCAACCCGCCTGAAGCTCGAGTGTTGCTCATCTCTCAATCGCATTTTGACTCCTGGTCTTTCCCGTTTTTCTTTCTTATCACTACTGGGTAGAGACAGTGATAACAAATTCGAAACAGGCGGAGGGACAGCGGAGAAGGGTGACAATCAGGTCAGAGGGCTGAAATGTCTTGTGTTTCTATACCGGGAATCCCATTCAGAAGGGGACGGCCAAAGCAAGCCAAATTGGATATCATTTGCGAAATGTCCAATCTTCACCCAGCGGTTTGTTTCGTGTGTTCTTTCTGTATCATGGACTTGGGTGATTTGGATTCTTGCCAAGAAGCTTTGGGGATTCGAGCAATCCCCATGTTCGTCTTCACCAATTTGAGGAAAGACCCCAGATTTCGGCTCACTCGCAGGTGTCTGCAGCACCCTTGCAGGGCCCCTGCAGGTCTCAAAACGGGCTGCAGGAGAGCGGATCTCGCTTGAAAAAATCCTCGGCCCATGGGCGTATATATCATCATCGTTTCGTCGTCACAATCAGGCTGACCAAGTGGGGCTGTTGGCAGAAGATTGAAGTTTGGCACACTTTTGGAGTTGCTCCTGGATACATCGTGCTCAGAAGTTCATATTGGGTGTGCGATTTCTGGGCTTGTTGGTGTCCAAAGCTTGATGTTGGCAGACATTCTGGGCCACTTCACTTCACCAGTTTCCAATGCCGTGCAGCAATACTTTCCGTTGACATGTCTTCTAACTTGAATATGCAGCATATGCTTGAATCATGATTCTCAAAAAGTCACTGACATGGAGGTGGAAAAAGTTCGGCAGTTCATAGAGACATGGCCTTCTTTTGGCCACTCTTAGAGCTCCACCTGACCACTGGCCCGACTGGCTGCCTTGATGGTCCGAGCGTCTGTTTCTCGCCTGGGTCCGGAACTCACTGGAGGCTTCTGTGAACAACAGGATGGTGGTCGCGTCCTATAATTAGGTAGGAACTCCATGGTACTGGGAGTTCGAAACACCTGGAGTTGCGAAGTGTCACCGCCAACAAAATACGGCAGAAAAGAAAAACGTCACAGAAAAGAATTTCTTCGGCCTGAGAAAGTCCTGTTTTTATTGTGTCTCTCAAATATCACAGAAGAACTCCTGCATCAGCTGACCTAGAAAGCTTACGGGTCTTTATATACGTTGTTTTGGCGAAGGATTTCTTCCATCAACAGGACTCCTTGGCTGGCGAAGGCTTGGAGGCTACCCAGTGACCCAGTGACTGGGCACTTTGTGACCCAAGCCAAGCAAACCGCATGAAGCGGTGGTTTCCATGTGTAAGGCCTGATGTTACGATCTGATCACATGAAGAGATCTGACGAAATCGGGTGAAACCTTTGAGATCTTCCGGGTGTCATCTCTTGTATGTGTCTTTTCACTTCGGCCCTTTTGCCAGAGATGAGCTCAGCGAAGTGCCAGCAAAGTCCCAGTGAGCTCAGGCAAACGGTCGACCGCCACACGGCGGCCGGGGCAACCGGAAAAGCGAGCTGGTACAGGAATCTCCACCGGGGGCCACCGGGTGTTACAAGAAAGGACTGGACTATATAGTTAGTTCTAAACTAGAAGCCACACACACACTGAGAAAGTCTTTTGAATATATAACTAAAAGATTGGAATCAAGTGAAAGCCCTCCCTCAGCCACTTTGGACTCAAGCATAGGCATGCTCAGTACTCAGTACGTACTCAGTACGTGCATTCCTCAGTCCAGTCCACCAGCCACAAGGCCTCTCAGTACATGCCTAACATTGGCTACCTTTCCGAGGCCCACCGGTGGAGACAGACCGCGCGCTCCCGCTCAAGCCTTCCAGTTGGAGGGCGCCCAATCTTCGGGGCCTTCCCCTCTGGCTGCTCTCAGCAAATCTGGCGAGAGTTCGTCGAGTTTGTCCAGTGAGGACCGGGCTGAAGAAAACAGGATGAAGGATGTTGGGAGGACCGCAAGGAAACAGATGGAGACGAACAGAAGAATGTGAGGCTGGCATGTCAAAAGAAATGGAACACATGGAAAAGACACAGCTGGTGCAGTAAGTGGTTATCTCGTTCACTGAGTCCTGAAGAACCAAGTTGTGCTCAACACGATTGAGGTTGAGAAGATCTGCCAGCTGTGATATGTTGACTTACTTCCCTGCTGCCCAGTGGTTCGATTGTTTTACACATCTATTGTCAGGTCCACTGTGGCCCAAAACTGATTTTTGCCCGTTTCTTTGGGCGCCGCAGGTTTCATTGGAGGTGTTTTTCTTCTCATCGGTGACGGTGGAGGTTGGGATTCAGTCATGTTTGTGTGCGTGTTCTTTCAAGTGCAAAAAGCATTGCCTCAATTGGAAGGATGTTCCAAGCGATCCATGGGTGATGTGTTTGCATGTCGGACATCGGTACCCTTGAACACCAGTTCTACATGTGACAAACATGTCACAAATGGCACAAACACATACATTCAACATGTATGCCACGGCAGAGTTTCGGGCAGATGTGGTCTGTGTGTCACTGTGTCATTTTCAGATTGTTCGTATGTCTCCAAAGGAACTTGTTGCCTGATGTTCTCTGGATTTGAAGAGAACTGCAACAAAACCTAGAACAATCCTGTGGACAACCCCTGGCTTCTGAAATCCCTTGCGTGGGGAACAACTGAAACCCGCTGCTCGATCCCCAAAGATCCCAAAGGCGAAAGGACCCAGTTCGCTCGGATTTGGACCCGAAACCTTCGCTAGGCTTTCGAAACCTTCGCCCACATGAAAAAAGAAACCGTCTGCCATTTTCTTCCGGTTCTCCGGTTCGGCCGCTTCGTTCGGTTCGAGAACCGTGTCCGCCGTGTTTCATCCACGGCGGACGTCACGTCTCGCACCTCTCTCCGTGGTCGGTCGCACGAGTCGGTCGCAGGACGGCGTCGCACCTCGCAGCCCCTGCTGGAGCACGAAAATGTCCTGAAGACACGCGGTGACGGTGGGGAGTAACGGCTCCGGAGAGTGGGTCGAGGTGGTCGTGATGGTGCTGGGAGGAGAGGGCGGCTGAATTCCAAACCAAACCCCACCCTGCAAAGTCCGAAAAAAGAACATGGAAGAGCTGGGTGAAGAACCGATTCAGAACCGGACTGATTGAGTTTCCCCTCCTGAAAAGCTTCAATCATGTTCTTCTGTGCTTTCAGTTTTTAATGTGAATGTCCAATGTGTTGGTATTTTTCAAGAAGCATCTGCTAAGCATCTCTTTTTTTGCATCTGTAACATCACATCACGAATTCTGCCACTGAAGAAAAATGGCCCCATGTTGGGTGGTCTTTTGCGGGAGCGTCAGTCCGGGATTGGGGTTTGGTTCTCCCCGAATCCTTTGGAAGTGGAAAACCACCACCTGTTTTGCTCTTCGGATTTCATGCCATGCTCCCCAGACTCTCCTCCCCCCCCCGCAAGAAGGCCACGGCCGCCGTGAAGCCGGAGCGAAGTCGAGCCGCGCACTGGCTGTGGCGCTCTGGTGATCTGAAGGTAAGACAGGTCTGGCTGTGGGTCATGGCACCCCAGGAAGTGGAGCAGAGGATGATTAGGACCCATGAGGACCCCGCCGGTAGGACCTAACCCGGATGGTTGTGGTCTGTTCATTGTTTCGCTCAAGCAAGGTATCCGGATTTTTGGACCCACAGCCAGATGGGACACCTCTTGCAGACCTCTGGGCACACCTGTGGGAGGAAAGTCACGCCTCATCTCCAGATCAGATGATCAGATAGCCTCACAAATTCGTTGGCGAGACTGTGCCCTTAGAATCCAACTCCGTCCACCTCGTTGGAGAGAAGTTCCTCAATTCTTGGCTGCTTCTGCTCTTGGAAATCTTGCCCACTGCAAGAATGCACCATCCAGTCGCCCAGCCAACCTCACCCACTGTCTGCCACCCACCGTCCTGCTGAAGCGCCGACAACTCGTTGCCCACATAGTTCTGAAATCCTTGGTGGAAGTGTTCCAGAGGACATCTGCTCTCAAAATGACCCCAGCGATCGATCCAATGTTCAGAACACCTCTCCAAAGGAACCCCCGCAGCACTGAGACCTGCAATCTGATCAAAAAGTCGACCCTCTGATGAAAGATGTGTGAGAAACCTGAATGTCACATGGTTGCCCATATATGGTTTCATGAGTTTAGTAAATACCTATTTAATAGCAATCACAAAGCTGGCCATTTATATAATATAATGGTCTCCTTTCTGCCAAACGTAACACCTCTCCACATCCGAATGTGGTCAATTACCCTGAACGTGACACCCACCAAAGACGAACACCCTTTGAGGTATGTGGATCCGGACGAACCCACGAGGGCAAACTGTTGAACTTTGGCCAGCTTGCACCATGGGACCACGGTTTTTCTCGATCCCCTCATGCGTCGTCCATGAAATTCACGGGAAAAAAAAACATGTGAATTCTAAAAAGAAATCATCCGGTAGCGTCCACCCTCTCCCCTCCTCCCTGCCATTTTTCGGGCCAAGGATCTGCCTTGGCTTCTGATCAGCCACCTGGACGCGGCAATTCTCTCGCTCGAAGGAGTTGCGGCGAGAGCTGAGAGCTGGAGGCCAAAGCGATGGTCCAAACATGGAAGCGTGGGAAACCCCGTGTGGCCTGGTGGGAGAGAGATGATGATGTATATCCTCCTAATCACAACAAATCACACAAAACAACACGGAAAACAGATTGAAAATGAGTGAAAGTGATTCGAAACCACTAAAAAGAAGGTGCATGCTCACCACAGCTGCAAATGTTAAGCTACACGAATGACATCATGAAGCTCCAGAAGAATCGTCTTCCCCGTCTTCCCCAGAGTGGCCTCTGATCCTGCATGATGCGTCCCATGTCCATGGCCCGTGCAGGGCCCCGGAAGCGCAGGCATCCATCAAAGAAATCTTCGAGGTCCACCGAGCCATCCCCGCCGTGGTCCAACAACTTGAAGAACGACCTGGCTCGGTGCGGCCCACCGTCGCGCTGAGCGCTGGCACCGAGCGATAGAAGAAAGAGTGCCGGCACTCTCGGTGCTTCTTCGGTGTCTTCGCTCGAAGGGCCGAATTCGTGCGGAGGGTCGCAGGGCCGAAGCCGGGTGGAGAAGTTGTGGACGGTGGAGGGAGCCGAGGTCAGGAGTGAGGCCAGGAGGGAGCGGGTCGCAGGAGTCCGGGAGGTGTACACCGCCGGATTGGGCGTGATGCCAGGGGCGGACCGAGGTAGTCTTTGTACTTTATAGGGGGTCCAGATTCTGGTCGGAAAGCGGTGGGCAGGACTTTGCTTGGATCTTGGGCATGAATTGGGTCTTCAACAGGAGACGAGCGGCGAGCGAAGTTTTGGAGGGAGAAACCGGGGGTGGAGCAAGAATTGACCTGCCAAAGGATGCCAAAAAGCAGAAGGGCTCAAGGGGAGACCTCACACACTGGGCGTTTCGAGTGAGTAGGGTACCTGGGTGTGCTAGATCCTGTATTCTTCTCAAGTCATGAGCTCTCCAAATTGTCAATGAATTCTCCGGAAATGCTTCGACACACCGAAAGGTCGACGGTCAAGGCAAAGGTTGAAAAATCCTCTTCCTCCTCTTCCCTGCTCCGGTCTTGCAAATGCTCTTGCCAGATCCCGCATGGATTGCCACAAAGCACCCAGTCTTCAGCAAGTCAAAAAAAAAAGAGAAACTAGAGTCTTACACCCAGGAAAATTAACATGGAACCTGAAAACCACTGGGTTGTAGAGGGGCATGGTCTTCCAAAGGTCCACTTTCAGGTTTCTTGTCCCGGGAGTACAATGAATGCAGTGTGTTGGCAATCCCGGGTGACTTTCCTCTGAAGACATGAAGCCTTGAAGCCTTGAAACCCTGCTGGCGACCTGAAGCCTAGTGACGACCTGAAGCCTGGTGACGACCTGAAGCCTTGAAGACCTGAAGCCTGGCGACTGGCGATGACCTGAAGCCTTGAAGACCTGAAGCCTGGGGACGACCTGAAGCCTTGAAGACCTGAAGCCTGGTGACAACCTGAAGCCTTGAAGACCTGAAGCCTAGTGACGACCTGAAGCCTTGAAGACCTGGAGCCTGGTGACGATCGAAGCCTTGAAGACCTGAAGATTGGTGACGACCTGAAGCCTGGTGACGACCTGAAGCCTTGAAGACCTGAAGCCTGGTGACGACCTGAAGCCTTGAAGACCTGAAGCCTAGTGACGACCTGAAGCCTTGAAGACCTGAAGCCTCTTCGTGTCTCCGCGTGTCTTTGTGTCTTCGCGTGTCTTCGTGTCTTCGAAAGTCTTCGTGTCTTCGGGTCTTCGTGTCTTCGCGTGTCTTCGTGTCTTCGCGTGTCTTCGTGTCTTCGGTCTTCGTGTCTTCGCGTGTCTTCGTGTCTTCGCGTGTCTTCGTGTCTTCGTGTGTCTTCGTGTCTTCGCTTGTCTTCGTGTCTTCGCAAGTCTTCGTGTCTTCGCGTGTCTTCGTGTGTCTTCGTGTGTCTTCGTGTGTCTTCGTGTGTCTTCGTGTCTTGGCGTGTCTTCGTGTCTTCGCGCAAAAGTCACAACCCGCTTCTGCCGACGCAATGAATGTTATTTCCCTCAAATCTCAACCGGCACGTGCTCCAACTACCTGCGTGCCACTGTTGCACATAGTCCTTAGATCCCAAGGTTCGGAACCTCCGTGAACGCGTTCGCGTGTTCACGCGCACGCGTGGCGCACGCGCACGAAGCTGCTGGGTCAAGGAGCCAAGCATCCCAAATGTCCAGTCCCAATGCTTCGAAGTATTCTCTGACCTCCCCCGCTTTTTTGGTTGGCCGGCGTCGAAAGAAGAGAAGATATGAGCGAGCGACAGCATTGAAGGTTGGGTTTGGCCCTTGAAATTCAAGAGAGTGATGGATCCCAAAGTTTCAGTACCACCTTGAGGATTTTCATCAATGCACCTCCGTGCTGTTCCATGGTTTCATGATATTCCATGCCAATGAACATCGTGAGCATCTGATGGTGCCACCGGATTTTCCCCCGAACATGCTCGACCCTCTGGGATTGGCATGCTGGCACTATTCCTTCTATACTTGTCTCCATCATCAGAGTCTCCATAGTCGTCTCCACGTCAAAGACATCGATAAACATCGGCACTCCCGAAAAAGTATTTAAACAAATAAAAAGAAGAGCCTCCTTCGCACGGAAATAGATCCGGGACGAGACCCACATGGAACCTGAAAATTGACCTTTGGAAGACATTTTTTCCTCTAATTACAACCCAATGGTTTTCAGGTTCCACGCGGGTCTCTTCCAGGGCGGATTTACAACTACAACCGGTCTTTCTGGGCTGAAACACGACGAAAAGTTGATCTGCTTTTAAAACGCACTCGAACCTTCTCGATCTAGCCACTCAAACCTCCGGTTGGAGGGGTGAGCACTCAAAAAAGTGTTGAACATGTTGAAAGCACTGAGCTATCCTTTTGCTGTTCATTTCTCTTCCCCGGTGTTGTCTTCAATTGCGAGAAACAGTGCAGGCCAATTATTACAGCACCAAGATGCAGCGGGGCTCTTGATCTTCTCCTCAAACATCCCTAAGGTGATCACACCCCGGTCGCTGTCCTGCGCAAAAAAACAAAAACATGTGCGTCCAGCTTTCAGTACAAAGTCAACCCAAATTCTTACGCTCGGAGTTCCCAGTTAGTCTTGCCAGTAGCCTGCATGCACTGAATTAAATTGTGAGGCAAACCCATACAATGCAACACGCAAGCACTGTGGATGAAGGGATCTGTGTGTTTGGGATTTGGGGGTCTTCTGTTCCTAACAAATGAAGAATTGACTTAGATGTTCGTCTGCCGACCGACCGTGGTGTCCCTCTTACTGGTCGCCACCCCGTGCTTCACCGGTCGACAAACAAGTGCCGAGCCCCGGTCGAACCCTTCGCTTACAGGATCCATTGGACGAATGGTGGGGGAATCGAGGCCGCCACCGGCTCCCCGAGGTGTCTCTGTTGGCCGAATCGAGGTGTCTCTGTGGGGTTCTGAGGTCTGCCTTCAATCCCAGTCCTCACCGTTCATCTGATGGAACAAGCCTCTCAACTTCCTCAAGACGACCCAGGTCACTGGAAGCACACTGAACATTAGAAAGTGCGATGAAAGGCTCGGAAAGGCTCGGTGTAACAAAAGGATTCGACGTAGATCTTCGGATCAAACACCTACAGTTACAAGGCTCTTGCAAATACGTTCAACCTTTATTGATCAAGTTCCTGATCGATCGCTTGGATGTGAGTCGTGAGTATCATGCCTATGAACTCGTGCAAGGAAGGGGCGCTATGTGGGCTTGCTTGTTGTCCATCAAAGCCTGCACCGCGAGACGATTTCGGATGAAGACTCCTGTGGCGCCTTCTCCCCACGGTGAAACCAACCAAGACATCCAGCAAAACCCCATTGGTGGTGCTACTGTGGCGGTGCTCGAGAACCGCACTGGCCAGCACTGGCCATCTCCCCAACACCGACCGGACCCCCCCAACGAGCAACGGGGACCATACTGTAACCGACGCGATGGCCTGCACCACCATCGCATGGTCGTTCTGATGGCTCTCGATCGCGGATTGACAGAAGACACCTGGGCGAAGGTTGATGTGTGTGTGTGACCTTTGAAGACGTGCAACAAACCCCCTTTTCGGATCGTGCACGGAAAGGAGGGAGACGGGGACATGCCGCATGGCCCGCTCGGCCATGGTATGTGGCCGAGCACCGCTCGGAAGGTTCCATGGAACCCAGCCAGACAGACAAACCAAGTGAGACAAGTCACCAAACCCACAGCCACGAGAGCACCAAACGGTTGAGTCACGGTGCTCTAAGAAGCAACGAGAATAAGGGACAAACCTGACTTGAGAGGAGGGAGACACGAAAGGTAGGACAGCGGGAAGAGAAGAGAACGCAATGTTCGACATGGTGATTTATCCCCTCGGAGGCGACCTTTCGTAAATATATGTTCATATGCACTCTAAATGTTCAAACATATGCTCTCGAAATGTTCAAAAAGATTCTTAGGAAAACAAATTTGCCCCATGGCTCAGATCATCGGTGAGCATTGAATCGGAACATCATAGGATTTGAACTATCCTGAAACCATAAGAGGCTCACGAAGACGCTCCCCAGGAGAGAATTGACGTGCTTCACAAAACAAACTCTAGGTATGTATCCCCTCGGGGAACACCTTTCGTGATTAGAATTTCATATTCACTCTTTCTGAATGTTCAAGAGGGTTTCAACTATCCTGAAATCATGAGAGGCTCACGAAGACGTTCTCCAGGAGAGAATTGATTTTGGGGGGGGAGGGGTCTGTATTGAAAAATCAATTCGAGGGGGGGGGGGTGGGGGGTGAAAGAGTGACTAGGGCGTACACGGTAGAGGTGCAGACCGCTAGTGTCTTTTGCTCACGCAGAGTCTTATCCTATATCTCTTGAGCCTTATGGCAGTCAAGCATGGACACACTAGATAGGCCACTGGAGTGGAACCTGTACAAGTATGCCTATACATTTCAACAGGCACAAAATTCATGTCCACTCCTGCCTATTGCGTATGTCGCATACTCTTTTTCTACCGCAAGGCTAAAGCAGTCCAGCAAGCTCTAGTAAGCTGAAAAGGAAACTACGGTGCCCTGTACTTACCAATTCCAGTGTATTTCACACTTTAGAAAAGGTAATCTCTAGGTATACTAAATACAGTGAGGGAGCAATAGCTGACTCACCTCAAATACAAGGTCAAAGACAATGTACCTCGGCTGGAGACTGTATTGTTCACCGGCGAAGATACCGTGTACCGGCGCTCAATAGCCCTTAAATAGCCAGAGCTTCAAAGAAACTTAAATTCGAAGGAAAGCGGCTTTCTTACACAGAGACCTGTAAAAGCAGTAAACGACACTCGCGTAACGAAGAACTAAAAATTCAAGACCGCACAAATTGCAATGAATTAGGATGCCTTGCAAAATGCAAGGAGCATCAACTCTCGGTCCGAGGAATGTTCTTCTCTAAAAGTGGTCTCGGCCGCTTCCATACACAGGACTTAAATAAAAATGGAACTGCATCAAAAGGACTCTTACTCTCATTGACACCAAAAACAAAAAGGAAGGAGACACCGGCAAATGTATGTACAAAACTTGCACTACAAATGCAAACTTATGAAATGACTTAATCCTCAACCATGAATGGTTGTCCATTAGAGGTCACCTCAGAAAAAGCGGCTGTGATAGATATCATCAGTTATGCAAAACTGTCCATACCTATCTGCATGCTAAAGCGTATAAACCTGGAATGCAGGAGTATCTTCTTTGACAAAAAGTTTCTCCTTGTTGCAAACCAGAGTTCATTAAAACTTCAGCCTGGCAACTCAAAGTCAAGCTTGGAAGCAAAGTATCAACTGTGATCAGGAGTATCTTCACTTCCTAGCTATCATTAAAAGTTAGCCTCCGCTCTGAATTCATGCCGCTGCAGTCGATGAAGCTGCTTGATCAGAAGTTGGCGGCCTACCTTTCCTTTTATTCTCTTTCTGTCTCTCCTTCCTCCGCAGTTTCGCCTCATGAAGAGTTGCTCCCATGCGATACTGTCTTCTGTCTCCAGATGAAAAGGAAGCTGGTCTGAGTGAAATAAACATTGGACCATGACTGTCCTCGTCAGTGGGCCTTGAGCACATAACCTCTGTGTCAATCATAGCAAAGTTCTCTGAAAAATTACAGATGAACTCCTTCGTGCTCACTGTGGAATTTGTATATTCCTCTTCACTCATTGAATGACCCCATTCAACAATGGTAGACAAACATGTATCTCCAAGCTGTGATCCCTGGTATTCTTCTTTCTCTACTGTGGAGTAATCTTCCCAGAGTTTATCAAAGTAATCTTCACACTGCTTGAGGACAAGTGAAGAAGAACTGTGCTTTGATACCAGGATCTGCTTTTACACGGGCTTCTGAAAACCTGCGGATCCAATGCTGCATGGTGCTATAATAATAGTTAGCCATTGGCTGCCTTTTGTACCCAGACATTCTGTAGGCTAAGCTATTTGCATCGCCAGAAATGATGTCCACCTCATAGACAAAACATTCATACAGCATCAATGCTGTCTGTTCTCCTGTCAGTGAGTGGGCATCCACAGCACGGTGTGTGTCAACATGATAATTACAGACTCTGATGGTATGCATGTTCGCTCGAGTAAGTGGAACACGCTGGTCCTTAGGACCATAGTCCTCAAATTCAAAGTCTGCATCCTTGAAGTCTTGACGAGGCCTTGTTTCTCCAAAACAAATCTCATAGATAGCCCAAGTTACATCACGCTGTTGACAGTGACCAAGGTCTTGGTCACGTCCGGCAATGATCTTGATATAGCCATCTGGTGCCAATCTAGCCATCACTGCAAGATTCTCCCAATCATTGAAACAAACTGTCCAATTCTTTTGCTCAATGAATTCCTTGGCAGGAACAAGGAGATGAGCTTCCTGGAGAATCACGACATGTGCACGCAAAAAGAAGAGCATATTGAAGAAAAGGTTGTTCTCAAATTGCTCGTATTGAAGTGACATGGCGCTCTGTTTGCGTGGCCTCATTGCACTATCAAGTCCTTGGAGAAACCTTGGTGTGGTGTACTTCTGACCACGAACCATGTTGCCATAGTTCCAGGATAAAAACGTCAAGGACTCTGAGCTGGCCAATAAGTTGGTTCCATATTGTTCTTCTATTCTTCCCTTGAGGAACCTTCTGCACAGCTCTTCATAGAAGGTAACAAAGTCCCAACTGGGTCCATTGGGGCCATATGATTCCAGTTCCTTCTTTAATTCCTTCTTCGTATCCTCCAATTCTTCTCGAGCATGCTCTGCCCTTTCAAAGGCTTTTGGATCGACCTGATACTTGCCATCCAAATAACTGATGCGGTCATCATTAATGAAAAACCTCTTCAAATCATGCTCTGAGTCGTGTTCATAACAATCAGGTGGAGGTACTGGACAGACCTTTCGAATGGATCGAACAAAATCATCCTCGTTGATCCTCGACTGATAATGAGGATGGGAAATCTCACCTTTTCTGAAACAAACATGGTTCAGCAATCTTGCGTGAGTTTCCCTGAAGCATAGTTGATAAAAGCCAATACCTGGATCTCCTGTAAGCTCTCCAAGCAACCTCAAAGGTGAGGTATGCAACTCATAGGTATTGTTAGCATCCACAGGATCTTTATCAACAACTACTTCAGATGGAAAAGACTCTTGGATTTCAGCCTCCAATTTCTTCTCTCCATCATCCTCTCTGACCTCTCTTATCTTCTTCACCGCCTTCTTCTTCTCCTCAAGAGTTGCATCATCCTGAACTTCTTCATGAAAATGAGGATCAGGAATCTTATTCAGGCGGCTTCTCTTAGATTTCCGCTGACCTGAAGTATCCTCAAGGTTAGCATCCTTCTCACCTGATGGTAAGTACGATGCAGCTGAGTCCTCACCTATCTCTCTTGACAGAAAGTGTGGTGTTGACTCCTCCTTAGCTTCCTCCTGGTCAACTTCCATCTTTGGTCCCTCTGAAGGAAAAGTACCTGCATTCTCATCAAACATTTCTTCATCTTTCTCAGGTTCAACTGCAGGATCTTCTTCAGGAACTTCCTCTTCCATATCTTCATCTTTCGTCAACATCAGACTACCAGTGTAGATTCCACCAGCAATAGTGGAGACTCTTGTGTAAGGAGGAACTTCTTCACCTGCCTCAAAAGCTTGTTCTGCGACATTCTTGGTGAGCAAGTCCTCTACAAGATTTTCTCCCAAAGTCCTTGGAAGAGGTTCTGAGGTCTCATGAAAATCTGTCCTCTCTGAACTGAAAACTTCTGTTGCCTTCTCATTGTCCTTTTTGTCCTTGAAAAGATGAGTAATCTTCACTGCTTCTCTTTGTAGCACCTGATCACCTTCTCTATACTTGTTGACAATGGAGCGCCATACTGGTACGTTGTCATCATCAAAATCAAGCTCCATATCATCTGCCAGCAAGTTTGAGATGTTTTGAGCTGCCTGTTCTTCTTCTTCCTCACGTTCTCTGGCAAGCTCCTCATTCTTCTGGATCTTGTAGACACCCTTCAGAATGTTTTGTAGTACCTTTAAGTTCAGCTTCGATGATGGCTCATACGTCCGTATTGGCGTTCAAACTCTTCCTTCTTGATCATCTCATACAAGGGATCAGAAACTGCAACACGCGCTTGAACATATTCACGAAGTTGATAGCATGCATGTTGCACAAATCTGCTGTTGGAGTTGTGAAGAAAACTCTCTAAATGATTCCTGTCACGGTCAATCAAATACCACACAACTCTTGCAGAAAACGGAATTTCTTGAAGTTCATAGCAAAATGCTTATGATACTTCTCTGGATCCTCTTCTGCTTGTAAGGCGGCCTCTGAGGTCTTGTAGGCTGGGAGATTTGTGTCTGGATCCAAAATCATAAACTCTTCCCACAAGATCGAGTGGTCAAGAACCCACTTGGGAAGCACCTTGATGAAAAAGTCACAAACAAGTTCAGACACAAGGTGCATGACACGACCAATCTCTTCCTCCTGCTTGAAGCGATAGTGCAATTTGGCAAATAAGGGATTGTTG